TGTGTTATTGATCGATTCAATGAATATTACTCTTTTTGTGTATGAGTAAAACAAATCGATTTCAGCTTTTCAATTGTGTCCCAACCGTAGCTGCTACCTTGACCTGGTGGTCGGGCTTGCCTATCGTGATGATCCAACCGAGCTATATTGGCTGAAAGGTTCTACCATGCCAGGCATGTCGATTGGAAAACGATGAGACCAAAATCAGCTACTCAAGGTCTGAGGGCGAAGTCGTACTGCTGACTGTAGAGGGGTGTGACAGCAGTAAGGTGTTTCCCTCGGACAACCAGTATCTGCAGCGATGCTGCCTTCTCAAAAGGAAGGAAGGGTTAGAAAAGGTCGACCCTAAAAATGTCACACCTCACCCTACCTCACGGATTTCCGTCTCCGGCGGTAAGGTTGCCTGCTAAGGGCTTTTAAGAGCGGAGCTAATACTCAAAAAAACCTTTACTAAAAAGGCCGTGCGTGACCGGCCTGAAGCAGTTGTCCCTTGGGCTCTGCGGGCACGCTCCTAGGTCTCGAAGACCAACTCTAGTCCACCTTCCTCTTCTGGTTCCTCAAGAAACAACCTTCCACGGTTTGGGCAGTCGGGAAGTGACAACCGCCCTCATACCCGTAATAGCACACGAGATCAAATTGATTGATTGATTAATTTAGATTGTGTAATATATGGCTCTAAGTGGTTTTTCGTCTTTCTCTCTTATCACATTTGTATGTTGTTTTGTGTTTATCTTGTAAGTTGTGTCGTATTGGTATAAATATTGACTGACTAATTAAAGACATTATCTCAGTGTTTTTTTTTTGGGGAGATGTGATGTTGAAATAGATTGTAATATTATTAATCAATCCCGTGTTTTACATCGCTGACTAAACTTAGTTCGTTAACTATTGAAGATCAGGACACACTAAACATCGACCAATCTGAAAAATCATAAGTGACATCGGATCAAGAAACAGAACAAAAGGGGGATACAATCAAAACAGAGGTGCAAACAACGACATGTTTAAGTTAACAACAACCAATCAAGATCGAGGTTAGCAGAGTAAGCTACAGCTCAAACGTGAAGAAATTCGAATGCTTCACTTCTGCTATCTGAAGTTTGTGCTGATGATGTTGTTGTTCAACAGGAGAACAATCAAAGCTCCACAACCAAAACCAAAACATCCAGCTCAGAGAACCAAACACCACCACCACACACACTAAACACTTGTTTCGTCTTAGTATTGCATTCCTCATCAGTAAACACCTACAATCCCACCGGTGGATTGAAACCTGACACTTTAGCTCATGTCTTGTTAAATGCTTAGACTTCAAAGCATTAATCTAACATCTAACATTATGTGCACATCTAAGGATTATCATTTCCAATTAGATCCCTAGGTTGTAAGAAAGTTAGGGTCGGCCAAACCAAAACATGCCACAAATTCATGAAGTCATTGACAAGTGGACTGAGTCATGTTGGTAGATGCAGAATACCCGGTCGATGTCCACGAGATGATAATAATCAGTGGTTAGAGACCGCGAATGACATGGCTCAAAATCTTTTGCAATGTTGTAAGTGCATCCATTCGTTGTGCTCCCTCAAATCCTAATCTCCTGATATCGTCAGCACCTCTAGCTTTGTCTTTCTAACCTTATCTTATTGAATTATCCTTCTTGAATAATATCTTCAAACCCTAGTCTTCTTCATTACCATTAATACCTTTACTATCTTTATCACTATGGGATTTGATTTGACATTTGCGTCTCTGTGTGCTAATATGTGATATGGCAACCTGAACTAATGTACATACGCACGAAGTTCTACATTGCAACTGACTTGTTCTAATATATTATACAAGTAATACTATTTATATATATTCTTATTATATGAAGAAATAATATGAAATAAACCAATCACAGCAGTTTATGGAGGCAGTAACAACAACAACAACAACAAATCAAATTACATAATTCAACATAAATCTCAATAGTAAGAAGTAGGAATTATGATGATGATGATAGTTTATGAAAAAAGAGTACATTCTAGTTGTTGTTGTTGTAATAAGAATCATACAAGTTTGAGAATCAATGTTTTATTGATCGAAAAAAAAAAATTAAAAGACATTGGCATAAGATTGATTGCAAATTATTATAGTTACTCCTCAATGTGAATTGCTCAAAGTGAAGTTGGAAAGTGAAGAGAAGAAAAAGAAAACAAACAAAGGATATGGAAAATAATGACAAGTAACGCAGTCGGCTATCATAAATTTATTACTACAATCATGAATTAGTCATTGTTAGACCATCATTGAAATCTGGAAGCACTGGGCTTTCGTTTCGTCCCAGTATGTGTTGGGGACGTTAGATCCCTAGAACTCGCTTGATAAATGCTGTAATTTTGGATTTTATGTTTTCGAGCATGGGCCGATCAGTTGACCTTGAGATTTCATTTCTCACCAGGAAAATCCTTGGCTGTGATTGGCTGTTGTGTATTTCAGTGTGCTATTTTTATGACGCTCCCAAATACGTCTCTATGATGTATAAATAAACGCGATTTGTGTGTTTAATATCATTGTGTTTGCTGAGTGTTTGTAGAATGCACTTTCTACGCTATATCGAAACTTCTCGTTAGCTGTTTTGGGTCAACGGATCAGAGTAGCCTACCTGGACGCTGGTTCATTGTCTCGTTCTAGTTTATCGACCCGTAATAATTTCAAGCATACCTAGTGATGATCTTAACAGTATTGGACTGATCAGCGATGCGCTTCCACTACTACTACCACTCGCAGGATTCGAACTCAGGACTTTCGATCTTGCTCGCGAACGCCTAACATCTGGCCACCCACTGCTTCCAGGTTTCTAATACTGGTCTAACAATGATTGATTCATGAATTCAGTAGTTGGTTGACACACAGGTGTTTTGAATTGCAAATGTTCTTCACTTATAGAATAGCCATCCTTTCACATCAGCATCATATCCATTTTGTTCATCAATGATGCTGCCCAGATATGTATTTAAAGGCTTTGGTATCTTGCAAAGCTTCTGAATGAATTATGATTTGGTTGGTGCATCCAACATCTTAGCTGATAGAAATAGGTTGAAAACGAACTGCGTGACGTGATAGGTGCTTACTAATTGGTTGGAGTCAGTCTGTGAAATAATCATAATCTATGACTGAATAGCTATAGTGAAGTGAGATGAAGTTTTCAAATACACAAACTGCTTCACATATATATCTATCATAGTTATTTTAAAATTGTACTTGAGTCACAATACAATGGTTATTTCATCACGCTGTTAATAGTGAATTTCAATGTGGCGTGTGAAATTTTTATATATCACTCTATGCTTAACATATATATAAATTAGTTTATTTCCTTTAATCTAGATACTTGTCATACATTTTTGTATTTGTAGGTCTATTACGGATACTTTATTCATAACTTATTTCAGATAGACTTGTTTACATGCATACATCTGCAATCGCGGTGGTGTTTCATTCTCTGAGCTGGTTGTTTTGGTTGTGGAGCTTTCATTGTTCTCCTGTTGAACAACAACATCATCAGCACCAACTTCAGATAGAAGAAGTGAAGCATTCGAATTTCTCCACGTTTGAGCTGTAGCTTGTTCTGCTAACCTCGATCTTGATTGGTTGCTGTTGACTTTTGACCTGTCGAATGCTTCACTTCTATCTGAAGTTTGTGCTGATGATGTTGTTCAACAGGAGAACAATGAAAGCTCCACAACCAAAACCACATCCAGCTCAGAGAACGAAACACCACCACAATCATCCACTTGAGCTACAAGTTTTCTCCACCATCTCAACATCTGTAATCGGTTGATAACAACAGATTCAGGAGGGCTTATTTAATCATAACCAACTTGTGTCACTAGTAGAGTTGGACAGTTGTCTGTTTGCTAACTACAAAGCATATTTACTGTACAGCAAGCAGTCTATTCTCATTCATTTTTTGTGATTTTGAAAAAAAGTAGTTTGTCGGTTTTTAATCATTGATTTCTTCAAAGCATTCTCAGTCAGTCGGTTACAACGTAGAACTCCGTATGTAAGTTCATCAGTTCAGGTTGCCATACTACATTAGCACAGAGGTACAGTTGTCAATTCAAATCCCATAGTAGTAGAGCTATTAGCAGTAAACGGAAATTTTAGGGTTCGAAGATATATTATTCAAGAAGTAGAATCTAGTGAAATAAACTTAAAAAGATTAAAATAAATTGATGAGGAATTATAAAGTTTAGGATTTGAAATGAACACAAAGAATGAATGTCTCTGCGCCTTTGCAAACGGTTTTGAGCCATGTCATTCAAGGTCTCTAACCATCGATTACTATCATCTCGTGGACCTCAACCAGATAGTCGATAACTAGCAATATGACTCAGTCCACTTGTCAGTGACTTCATTGATTTGTGCCATGGCTGCCGCTAACTTTCTTCCAACCTACTCGTACACCAAAAGACGTCGCTCTTCGAGGCAGTCATTGGTTGGGCATTTGTAAGACATTTACTAACCACCTCAACTGATCAAGTTTCACTACTTCATTTACTGATCTGCCATCCTTACCTAGTACCTGCTTCGTAACGAAAGCATTATTTATTACTCTCACGATACACAAGCAATCCTTCGAAGACACCTATGGTTGAAAGCCAGTAACTTACGACTATCTTCTACTTTGATTGGCCATGTTTCGCATCCATAAAGTAGGACGGAGCGAGTCTTCGAAGCATTGTTCACGTTTAGAGTGACACAACTGAATAAATTATACTGAGGTTATCCATAAGATGAATGTTCATTGCACATATTTCACTCATGGTTATATCGCTTGATTTCAAAGTCGGCTTACATCATTCACACAATTATACCATCCACCATTTGCAAAACTGATCAATGTATCAATACTGTTTGACTTATCTATTTGTTTATTATAATTTGTACTATATTCTATTTATTTATCCATCTCTTGTTCTTTTTTGTCTTGTTTTACTTCAAAAACAACACAGATCGATATCCTATTATTCGAAGTTATGATCTTGTAGTGCCAGTCACCATTTCTATAGCACGTCCGTTAATATTTTTTGGACCATTGAAAGATCGTATTATTGATGAATTATTATTGCAAAATTCCAAATTTACCACATGTATATTGCGTAAGTAATTGTATATTGATTTTTTTTATTATCGTCAAATATGGATATATGCATTACGGGGTTGTGAAGATTGTTAAGTTACACATTTTTTGAAACCATGAATCGATGATCAATGTTAGACCACCATTAGAAACCTGGAAGCACTGCGAAAGACGGCCGTTTCGTCCTGGTATGAGACTCCTAAGTAGTGCACATCCACGACTCCTGCACCCCGCAGGATTCGAACCCAGGACCTTCGGTATTGTAGGCGAACACCTGCCTAACCATCGGACCACTGAGCCGGTATCTAACGGTGTTAGATGTCTAACTTTGATCAATTCACGGAGTTGCGCAACCTCATACACAGTCTACGGTAGTAGTTACTGTCTACACCCAAACAGGTTGAACTTCACTGGTCACGTCTTCCCACTAGAACTTGGAGAAGATTCCTCACGAAGCTAGTCACTAGTGAGCACAGGTAATTTACATTACGGGGTTGTGAAGATTGTTAAGTTACACATTCTTTTGAAACCATGAAGAGTCCCATACTAGGACGAAACGGCCGTCCAATGCTTCCAGGTTTCTAATGGTGGTCTAACATTGATCGATTCATGGTTTCAAAAAATAATGGATATATGCATTTGCCTATTTATTATATTACGTACGTACTTACTTACTTACTTAGCCTGTTACCCCTAATGGAGTATATAGACTGCCAACCCGTATTCCCCAACCTGCTCTATCCCTGAGCCTTCTTTTCTTCTCATATCTATCTCCATTTCTCGGCGTAATGTGTTCTTTGGTCGTCCTCTTTTCCTTTTGCCTTGAGAACTTGCTTTGTGACATATTCGGGTGCTTACCTCAATGTGTATCCTATCAACTTGCAGCGCGTTCCCCTAATTTATTATTCGTCTGCTGGAGGGATCTGGTTTGTCCCCTGACAGAGTAGGTTGTTACTGGTAGTGTCTGGCCACTCGGTCGTGAGCGACCGTTAATAAACATTTGTATTTTTCGGATGATGGCTTTCGTGATTCTCCAAGTTTCCGCCTCAAGCAGCAGAACTATCTATATGTTCGTATTGAAAATTGTAACTTTGTTGTTGGTTGATCGATAGTTGTTTTAAGTTGCAGATGTTCTTCAATTGTAATTTCTTTTACTATAATCATTGGTTTGATGATTTTTGTTTGCTTGAAGTTTATATTTTGTGATTAGAATATTCATTTATACACTGTATTCCTTACTACTACTGCTCATGGTATAAATTTGTGTAACGTTTTTTAAGTCATAATCCACTAAACGTTCGGCATAATGGTGTGCATTTTAACAACGTAATATACAATTAACACAATGAATAGTTAATGAGACTAGATACTGTCTTAGCCAATGGAAATAAGGAGAAATATCCAGTTCAGAGAACGAAACAGCACCACAATCATTATCCACCTGAGCTACAAATTTTCTCCACCATCTCGTAATAAGGAACAGTAAATGTTGAGAATACTTACTTACTTACTTACTTACGCTTGTTATCCCCAATGGAGCACAGGCCACCCACCAGTTTTCTCCGACGAACTCTGTCCTGGGCTTCCCTCTCCACTTCTGTCAAATGTTTTTTCATTCCTCTCATACCTTTCTCTATTTCTCGGCGTAATGTGTTCCTTGGCCTTCCTCTTTTCCTTTTGCCTTGAGGGTTCCATGTGAGGGCTTGTCTCGTGACGCACTCAGGTGCTTTTCGTAGTGTGTGTCCTATCCACTTCCACCGCTTCTTCCTGATTTCCTCCTCCACTGGAATCTGGTTTGTTCTCTCCCGCAGTTCGTTGTTGCTGATAGTGTCTGGCCAACGAATACGAAGTATTTTGCATAGACAACTGTTAATAAACACTTGTATCTTCTGGATGATGTCTTTGGTAGTTCTCCATGTTTCCGCTCCATACAGTAGAACTGTCTTCACATTTGTATTGAAAATCATGATTTTGTTGTTGATTGATATTTGTTTGGAGTTCCGGATTTTTTTCAGCTGTAAAGCTGCAGCCCTTGCTTTGCTGATCCGTGCCCTCACATCTGCATCTGATCCACCTTAGTTGTCGATGATGCTGCCAAGATACGTGAAGGTGTTATCGTCCTTCAAGCCGTTTCCATCAAGAGTGATTTGGTTGGTGCTTGTATTGTTGCATCGGAGAATTTCGCTTTTTCGTTTATGTATGTTGAGACCTACTGCTGCAGAGGCTGCTGCTACACTGGTCGTCTTCTCTTGCATTTGTTGTTACGTGTGCGATAGAAAATGTTAAGAATATGGTTCAAAAAAAAAGTTAAAATGATGAAAAGCTATCTATGAAGGATTCTTGCATTAGTGTAGCTGTTTATAGCTTTCTTGTAACTTATACCAATAAATATCGTTCATTGAATTAAGGGATTCTTATAATAATACATACAACAGTTGAATATGCTCAGTGAAGCACCAATGCTAGTTTTTACTATTCCCCAGTATATCTTGCCTTATTCTCATATCTCTTCACTTCCCTGCCCCATTGGTTGAACAAGTTATTTATTCTTTCTGGTTACCTTAAATCAATTCTGTTTTCTTATGCCCCCTACTTTCTATCGATTGATTATTGTACAATTAAATATCATAGTTAGTATCACTATTTTTTTTCTAAAATAAAATTTTCAGAAAGGTTATTTTTCATTTTATTTTTGGAGTGATATTTGAAAGAATAATAATAATCATAATAATACAGTTTAAATTTACAATATAAGAAGAATACGCCCTGAATAATATGTTCCTTCTTAAGGTTTTTAAATCGCCTTCTTGTTATTTATCAGATATTAAAGATACTATTTGACTTTTTAAATAGAAAGTGAATTATTTGAAGTTGTTGTCGAATGAACTGTTGATTTTAGGGTGTGTAATATCGATGAATAAAGTGGTTTATATCTTCAATCAATTCCTGGTAGGGCGCAATCATCATCTAGTGTCATTCATGTGGTAACTGTGAATTGTCACTGGGCATAACTTCTCGCTTGGATTCTGCAAATTATTTCCTCAAACTTAGCCTACAAATGACCTTGTATGGTTAAGAGTGTTGCTAGTCCTCTCTCACTCACGAAATGCTCCAGTATGACCACGCATGTATAGCCACTGACAGTGAGGTTCTAATCACTGCCTTTTCATAATGAAAGTTCTGTTTACCGAATTGGGAAGACAAAGATCGAGTGCTTGTCGCTTAAATGGAGTAGGTTGGCACGGAGGATCCACCCGAGAGAAGTTTTTGAAAAGCTTAATTTGAAATCAACAGCGCATATGAACTCCAGGGTCCTCATGGAACAAATGACGTATGAAACTGTTGTAGGATGTCATACGACTGCACCTCCTGACGTTGTTTATTGTCTTGTTGATTGGACTTCTAAATTAAAGACTCAAAATGTGGCCCGTTTAAGAAACCACTTAATTCTGTTTTTGGTCGTCCGGACAAAGTATCCTAAGCCTACACGCGAATTTCTTCATTGTAGTTCTTCTCTGTACCACTGTTTATATTGCCTAAATCAATATAATTATCATTAAGCATTTTACGGCTGTAAAAGATGGCTAGTCAGAGTAAAAGACAATCGAAGGTTATTGGTTTTTGATCATAGGTGTCTCCGAAGCATTGCTCGTATATCCTGGGGCAACCGATTAAGCAACGCTGTTATTTGGAAACGGGTGCTAGGTAAGAATGGCACATCAATAGATGAAGTAATGAAACTTCATCAGTTGAGGTGGTTGGGACATGTGCTGCGTATGCCTATCCACCGACTGCCTCGTCGTGCTATGTTTTGCGATGTAGGGATAGGTCGGAAGAAAGCTAGGGGCTGGCCAAACCAAAACATGGTACAAATCCATGATGTCATTGACAACTGGACTGAGTCATGTCGGTAATTGTCGACTACCTGGTTGGTGTCCGCGACATGATAATAATCGATGGTTAGATACCCTGAATGACATGGCTCAAAATCGTTTGCAATGGCGCAAGTGCATTCATTCTTTGTGTTTAATCCTAACCTCTGCGATTACTTTTAATACCTTTACTACCTCTACTATTATTGGATTTGAATTGACAATTGCATCCCTCTGTGCTAATGTGTTATGGCAACATGAACTGATGTACGTGCATACGTACGAATTTCTACGTTGCATCTGTCTGACTGACTGACTACCATTATGGATAGGCTGTTTGTGTTAACTCAAAATACTCTTTTTGCCAATTCATATACAATACCTAGAACAATTCGCTATATTTCTCATTCATGTGTACACCTGAATCATTTCCGCTTAGTTTTAAATGTTTTTTTAAAACGTTACTATGATTACAGATACAACTAGACCACAACGAGCAAATGAACGTAATGGTGTTGATTATTATTTTGTTCCATCGAAATCAATTATGGAAGAAGATATTAAACAAGGCAAATATATTGAAGTGGATCGTTTTCAAGATCATTATTATGCAACAAGTTTAGAATCGATTCGAACAATTCTTCATTCAGGACAAATATGTATACTAGATGTTGGATTAGATGCTGCTAAATATTTAGAAGTAGGTTTTATTTTTTTTAATATTCTGTTGCTTGCTTACTTAAAGCTGTTACCCTGTTAGTGAAGCATAGGCTATGGACTAGTTATTCTCCAACCTACTCTGTCCCTAGGCCTTCCTTTCTAGTTCTGTCTTAATGGTTGTTCATTGTTCGCATGTCTGTCTCTGTTTCTCGGCGTAATGTGTTTTGTGGTCTTTCTCTCTTCCTTCGGCATCGAGGATTCTATTTGAGGACTTTTCTTGTTGCTATAAATCATTCAGGAGATTCATCCAGTCAGGAATAATACGCAAAAGTTATATATCACAGAGGTACTAAGCAATTGTAGGCTTGGTTCTGTATGGAACCAAATAAAATCCCATTAAATCTTTATAAGGTTGTAAGGTTTGTTGAATTTCAATGAAATCATGAACCATTTTAATTTGGACTACCATTAGAAATGGGAATTACTGGACTGATGTTTTGTCATTGTGTGGGACTCTTCAGCAGTTGTCCATCCACGATCTCACAAGCTGATCACTGATTCGGTATCGAACGGTGTTCTAGTTAGGAGAAACCGTCACATATCAAATACAATGAGAATTGATTGTGCTATGTCATGGATTAATTGAAGCTAGATGTTACTGCCGTTGGATGCCGGTGCAGTGATCTAGAGAGGTTAAGCATTCATACACGAAACAGAAGTCCCTGGGTTGGATTCTTTTATGCTGGGTCCTGAAAGCACATTGGTGAAGAATCCCATAACACGACAACACGGCTATCTAGTGATGCCAGGTTTTCAGTGATGTTCTAACTTAGATCAGGTCATGATTTGAACTGTGCTCTGTCGCACTGTTGTGAAAAATTAATTGCATGTAAATTTACATAGCTACACATGTTACTCCTAGTAGGGTATAGGCCTTTGGAAAGATCGTGGCTAACATTAAAATCCAGGACACGTGTTCTCTCTTATTTAGAACTGGTTCAGTTGGACGTACCTGCCAAATACTACTAGTCACAGTCCAAATGTTTTATAAAACTTGTGACGAAATGTCTGCATCGAAACAGTCAGCCACAACGTAGAACGTCGTACGTGAGTACATCAGTTCAGGTTGTCATACCACGTTAGCGCAGGGAAGTGTAATCGTTAGAACAAATCATATGGTAGTATAAGTAGTAGAAGCATTGGCAAAAGTAGAAGAGATTAGGGATCACAAACATGAGATAAACTTACAAAGAGAATAATAACAAGGCCATGATGAATTCAGTAGATTAGAATTTGGGAGAAGATAAAGAATGGATGCATCTGCGCCATTACTAATGGTTTTTAGCCATGTTATTCAAAGTCTCTAACCATTCTTGACTACCTCGACGAGCGATGTTTTATGTGGTGTAGGAGTGAGTAGGTTGAAAGAAAGCTAAGGGAGGCCAGACCAAAACATGGCAGACATTAAATGAAGTCATTGACAAGTGGACTGAGTCATGTTAGTAGATCTAGTCCAGTTGTCAGTAGTTTCATGGATTCGTGCCATATTTTGGTCTGACCACTCCTAGTTTTATTCTAACCTATCCCTACATCAGTCAACATCGCTAGTCGCTGTAGTTGGTGGTTGGGCAATATCAAAACGCTTCACACTGTTTGCATATATATGTCCACTGTAACTGAAATTAAGTTCACTTTAATATTTCTTTATTCAAATTAGAAAAAGAAACTTTAATGTATCTTTTTTTTTTAAATATTTCAAGGAAATTGGTTTATTTCCTATCACTATTCTATTGAAACCGAAATCTATCATACATTTACGTTCATTACAACGTCGATTAACTGAAGATCAAGCTAAACGATCAATGGAACAAATACAGAATATTGAAGATGAGAATTGGCGATTTCTGTCGGGTAAAGATTAGAGTTTTTGATTGTTATTATTATCATTATTTCTTACTTTGTTGGTAAACTATTCTCAAAAGACTGGTTTATTTTTGTTAAATCTTATCAGATTTGTATTCAAACTATTATTTACTTACTTACGCCAGTTACCCCCAATGGAGTATATATAGGCTGCCAACCAGTATTCTCCAACCTACTCTGTTCTATGCCTTCCTTTCTAGTTCTGTCCAATTGTTATTCATTCTTCTCATGTCTGTCTACATTTCTCGGCGTAATGTGTTTCTTAGCCTGGCTCTTTTCCGCTGACCTTGAGGACTCCAGGGGCTTGTCCTGTGACGCGGTTGGGTGCTTCCCTCAATGGATGTTCTATCCACCTTCAGCACTTTTTCCTCAACTGGGATGTAGTTTGTTCTCACACACAGTAGGTTATTGCTGATGGTGTCTAGCTTTTACGGGTATGAGGCCGACTGTCAATTCCCGGCTGCCCACACTGTGAAAGAGTGTTTTTTAAGAAACCTGAAAAGGAAGGTAGAGTAGTGTTGGTCTTAACGACCTGGGGGTGTGACCGTAGAGTCCGAGGGACAACTGCTTGAGGCCGGTCACGCACGCCTTTTCTGTGAGACGTTTTTGAAGTGTTATCTCCGCTTTTGTTTAAAATACCTTACCACCGGAGACGGAGTTCCATCAGGTAAGGTGAGGTGTGACATTTTTGGGGTCGACCTTTTATAACCATTTCGTTCCTTGTGAGAAGGCAACATCGCCGCAGATGCTGGTTATCCAAAGGAAACACTTTACTGCTGTCATACCACAACCCATTAAGCAGTACGACTTCGTTCTCAGACCTTGTGTTACTGCTCTTAGTCTCACTGTTCTCAACCTACCTGGCATAGTTTAACCTACAGGAACTTATGTTCCAGCCAATATAGCTCGGTTGGGTCATCACATTAATGCACGCGCAAAATATGTCCACATTTTTCAAGTTTAACAAAGTTTTTACCAGTAAATATTGGCTTTAACTCTGTTGTATGCCGACTTAATGGTCTAGAAATGAAGCATTCACATGCAATACCGAATGATACTGATATACTCGCCAGTTGATATGCTTGAATGATATTACGAGTTCACCTTACTCGGTAAACGAAACGGAGGTCAATGATACAATGACACGGTAGGCTATTGTAATCCGTTGTCCCAGGCTCTACTAACTAGAGGAAGAAGTCTTGATAAGATGTAGAGGCAGAGAAAGTACAAGGTCCGCAAGCACGCAACTCAAGCTTATTTATACATTGGTAGAAACGCCCTTGTTGAGAGCCACAAAAAAAGCATACTAAAATAATCCATCATCCAATGATAGTCAAGAATTTTCCGAGTGAGAAATGTAAGCTAAAGGTCAACTAAGTATCTCTGCCGCGAAAACATAGAAATTCAAAATTAGAACCTTTATCAAGTGAGTTCTAGGGATCTTACGTCCCCAACAGGTATATTTGGGTTGGATTTCCTCTTGCTGAGTTGGTCATTCAGCGCTTCCAGATTTTCCAATGGTAGTTTAGCTAAGATCCGCTCTCCATTAATTACACAATGCATAATAATAATAATAATATTAATAAATAAACTAATCAGAATCTTTTCAACTTGAGATTATTCTATGTATAAAGAATATGAACGATTAAGATAAAAAAAATACTAGTCAGCTGTGTGTACTTTTATTACTGTAAAAAATAAATAAACTAAATCATTCTACCCCTAACCACTGACTGCCTCGACGAGCTATGTTTTGTAGTGTAAGAATAGGTTGCAAGAAATCTAGGGTCGGCCAAACCAAACCATGGCACAAATCCATGAAGTCATTGACGAGTGGACTGATTCATGTCGGTAGTTGTCGACTACCTGGTTGGGGTCCGCGAGATGATAATAATCGATGGTTAGAGACCTTGAATGACATGTCTCGGAATCGTTCGCAATGGCTCCGGTGCATTTATTCTCTGTGTTCTCTCAAATCCTAATCTTCTGGATTCTTCAACCCCTCTACTTTTGACTCTCTAAACTTATCTCACTGAATCATACTTCTTGAATAATATCTTCTAATCCTAACCTCTCCAATTACTTCTAATACCTTTACTACCTCTACTATTATTGGATTTGAATTAACAATTATATCTCTGTGCTGATGTGGTATGGCAACATGAACTGATGTACTTACGTACGTAGTTCTACGTTGCATCTGACTGACTGATGTCAAGAATCCATGAAGTCAGTGACAACTGGATTAAGTCATGTTGATAAGCGTAAACTACCTGGTTGGAGGCTGGCGAGTCGAAAGTATCCGATGTTTAGAGGCCTTGAATGACAATGGCTCAAAATCGTTTGTAATGGCGCAGGTGCATTCATTCATTGCGTTCTGTCAAATGCTGATCTTCTGAATTCCTCATCATCTCTTTCTTTCTAAATTTATTTCACTTCTTGAATAATATCTTCTAATCCTAACCTCTCCAAATACTGCTTATATCTTTACTACCTCTACTACTATTGGATTTGATTTGACAATTACATCTCTGTGTGCTAATGTGTGGTATGGCAACATGAACTGATGTACTTACGTACGTACAAAGTTCTACATTGCATCTGACTGACTGACTGAAATCTTTCTACCATCCATCCAACCATTTATTCATCTATCCATTAATATTATTATTCAAATGCCATTAATCAATTAATTACAAATCACATTGAATCATTTAGAATTTCGTGATTAAATTAATCATAAAAGTGAATTAATTAAATAAGTAATTAATTTATTTATTACTTTTTTGCATTGTGTGTGTGTGTGTGCTAAGATGTGTTGATCTCACCTGATTTGTTTGCGAATTTGCACAATTTTTTAATGAGTTTATGAACAAGTATATGTACGTGATATACGTGATCCGAGTCACGTGACTATTGGTTCTTCTTCTATTTTTTCGCTCGCTCTGTGTGTGTGTGTGTGTCTATATCTTTCATTTATGCATAATGTGTTTATTTTCCTATGTTTGCAATGCATCACAATCAGTGACAGTGATCTATCTGTTGGTGTTGTGTATAATAAATAAGGTCAAAATTTTGTGCACGAGTAGTCAACAACAATCACTTGTATATCATGCATTCATTTATCATTAAGTAATCAATCGGTCAAGCAGAATTGTAATCATGCATTGATGCAGTGTTTTATTGTTCATTCATTCATTGTTCAATGTAAATTGTATGTGTTCATCTGACTTGGTTATTAGATTACGAAAAACATTTGTGCGTCAATGACAAAGTCAAACAAGAATGCAGAAAGTGGACATCCCTAACGACTAACACTTGAAGTAATGAATTCCGATAACAGTTTGCCATAAGCTCTCACTCGACTAGTAATGTTCGAGTCAAGAGCCTATATAAGGTTAATTTACTTCTTCGGTACACCTTTCAATGACAGACACTGTCACAGAACCTCACGACCAACAGAGTCGAATGCCACCTTAAGGTTCAGGAAGAGAACGATTGTCGAACGAGTAGTAGTAGTAGTAGTGTAATCTAATCTACTTGAAAATACATCATTTCATACTTTACACTAGTTAATGCTAATTTTTGTCATTGGCAAATTTTTACTGTGTGCCAAAACAGCAACAACATTTTTAAAACCGTAGTATCTATTACAAAAAAAATAAAAATGCTAACATCATTTGTAATTAGTTCGTTGCGTTTTTTTGTGCCATAGTTCTTTCTACATACATTTTATAAAATCGATTTGTACAAATGAATAAAAACTGCACAACCATTTTTGGTAGAATGATGATAAATAAATAATACCTACCATAGGTGTGTACACTAAACTTTTCACATCTGTGTCTATAAACCAGTTCAATTCAAAATGATTATCGTCTTTTTTTTTAAAAAAAAACTTTCTTACTTTCTTATTGTAATGAATAAATAAACAATACGATTGTTTGTTTATTGGAATTTCGTTTTTTTTTTCGTGTTGCGCTGTTAATCAATAGATCAATAGACCTAGCGGAAGATAATGACTGGTAAATTCTAGGGTGTTATTTTCTTCTAGCCATCTAACGGTAAAGTAGTATTTTTTGACTAGTGATCAGATTGTCTAAGTGTTTAATGACTCCAATTTGGGCGAATCATTGAATAAGGCTATGAAATAAATCTTCCTTTCAATTTATGTTGGTTATGCTTAGGTGAACTCTGTGTTGTGTGCGATGGGGTGAAAGGAAGCCAAATACACGGATTCAGTTGAATGAGTTTATGTTATGCAATCGTTAACACTGACAAAACGTAAAAGTAAAGTGAAGAAGACTAGTGAGCCAACTTTATGCAATGAAGCACGACTATGTATGTATGTGCATAATCAGACCGGCAACAAGTGAGGTATAGGCATGCATACAGGCGCGAATAAAAGTGACCAACATAATATAATTGACTAGGTCGAAAGACGAATAAATAATCACTTGAGCAGAAAGTTTTAATTAGTTTTTTTTTGGAAAGTTGGGACAAGCCTTGTGAGCTCAGTATATTGCTACACATATTACAAGTGCTAGAGCAGCGCCAAGTTCGAATTATCAACTCATCATCACTCCCATTCACTCTTACCATCATTAGATAGCCAAGTATAGTTTATTAGTGATTAGTTATCACAGGTAATAACAATAACTCATTAATGTTCAATCGGGAATCTCAATGACATTGTTCTATTTAGTGAAGACGATGATAAAATGCCGAATCTTCTGACCACCCTAGACAGCCATGAAAGCATTATCGCGATGCGTTCGCCCCCCCCCCCTCGAAATGTAAAATGTTGCTTCAGGATTGGCTTGAATCGGTATCTCAACTAGTGAAGTAGTCGAGCGTATCGACCGCTTCGCTTATTTTTTGGATTCCCATCAGTGCTGATGGCCTGGTGTCTGACTCAATCTCGGTAGGGATAGGTGAGGGCTCGATTGGCTTTAGCCAACTTACGTCACTTATGATGTAAGAGGGATTTCCGATTACTGACGAGTTTGCCGCGCAGCCATTCGCTCCGTCCTACTTTACGGGCGTTTATTTCACTGGATTATACTTCTTCGAACTCTAATCTTTTTTATTATTACTAATACTCCTACTACTATAGGATTTAAGTCGACATTCGTATCTCTGTGTGCTAATGTGTTGTGTTATGGAAACCTGAAGTGATGTACTTACGTACCTACGTACAAGGTTCTAGATTGTAGCTGACTGGCTGAAACATTTTATTCATTGAATATATTAAAGACTATCTAGACAAACTCAATAACTCCTTTGGATCTCATCAGTTGAGTTGGTTAGGACATGTGCTGCATATGCCTAACCACCGACTGCCTCGATGAGCTTTGTTTTGTAGTGTAGGAATAGGTTGGAAGAAAGTTAGGGTCGGCCAATCCAAAACATGGCACAAATCCATGAAGTCATTGACGAGTGGACTTAGCCATGTCGGTAATTGTCGACATGATAATAATCGATGGTTAGACACCTTGAATGAAATGGCTCAAAACCGTTTGCAATGACGCCGGTGCATTCATTCTTTGTGTTCTCTCAAACACTAATCTTCTGGATTCTTCAACCCCTCTAGTTTTGACTTTCTAAACTTTTCACGCTGAATCATACTTCTTGAATAATAATATGTTCCCATCCTAGCCTCTCCGACTACTTCTAATACCTTTACTACCTCTTCTACTATTGGATTTGAATTGACAATTGCATCTCTGTGTGCTAATGTGGTATGGCAACACTAACTAATGTACTTACATACGAAGTTCTACGTTGTATCTGACTCAGCGACTGACTGATCTTGTCTTATTGATGTTTCAAGCGAAAGGCATTAAGTTTATATTGCACTAACAAAACTGTTCGAATGCAAGTGCATACAGCTGATAAGACTCAAACAAGCCGAAATATATGCATTATAAATTCTATTTAAAAAAAATATAATTTAAAAATAGTTCTTTATCTGATTTCTTTCTATCTTCTTTGTTTTAATATTTCTTTTAGCCATTATAACCTATGAAAATTTTGACAATCTATTATTATCTGTTAAAAATTTCATCCAACTTCATAATGGTCCAATTATTTGGATTTCATCAGCATTATCTTCCACATTGCCCAATATTCCATGTGTAATTCCTAATACTACTATGAATACGAATACTAATAGTATTACCACTACTATTACTACTACTATTACTAGTACACCACAATTTCGTCATCATTCATTTTTGCCGAATGCCAGTAATAACAATCATCATCGTCATAATCATAATATTATTAGTAGTGCCTTACAATCATTATCAATTCAATCGGCCAATGCCACCATACACGATCATCAAGTATAACAAAGAATGCAGAGAGAAAAAGCAAACAAACCAATCAATAATCAACAACTCGATATGAGATCATGAGATCTGAATTTTTGTTTTCTTATGCGAACCAAAGAATTCACTGATCTCTCGCCCTCTCTCTCTGTTTACTTATTCATCTGACTGCTTATCAATTTTGTGTTAGTACTCTGTAATCAAATGACAGTACATGTATACTGGTTATTATTATTATTATTGTTGTTCGTGGCTTTGTTTGTTCGCTCTGTATTCATTTACTTGTATCTGATTTCACATTGTTCCCGTCTCTCTCTCTCTCCCTGACACTCTCACTCTCTCATTGATTTGTGTAATTATTTTGTTTCTCTTTTTAAGGTTTATTCACATTTCAATGTCTACTTTGGACACTGTATGTGTGCGTGTTCATGTGTGTGTGTGTTTGTTTGTTTATTGTATAATTTTGTACAAGTTCTTCGTTCCATTGTTTTAATGTGCTATAAACCTCTTTCCATTTTGACCTGTTTGCATTCCTTACTTACTCCAGCGGTCAGTCATACACAAATCTCTGGTTGTATCATAATGTTGAACACTGGTTTTTTTCTCTGCTCCTCCTGTCTTCTTGTTCTTTTTAATGTACACTGGATGATCTCATGTTTCGTCATCGTCATCATCATCATGTCAACAAGTGATTGATTAATTGATTTCCGGTATCTTTGAAATATAATACTGTCAAACATTCCTCCCTTGAAATTTGTAATTCTTTATAACTCAGTATCTTATTTAGATCTCATTTTTTTTTCCGATTCAAATGAAGCGATAGTACTGGCAATCGCCATGTCGACGACGATGTTGATCATGAAAATGCCAAATCAATATTACTACCATTGTTGTTTTGATATTGAATAAATAGATAGAACTGTAAATTGATGCTTTGTTGTGTTTCTTGCTTTACCAAAGCAACTTATTGGTTTTTTCCTGTGTGTAAGCGGGATGAGATGGCAGTTGGAATGTTATGTAGCCTATACACACACAGACGACTTTGTGTGTGTCTGTGTGAAATAGGAAAAAGCATTTCGTCGGCACTGACTGAGACAGAAACAGTCAATAAGCATTCGAACACAGAGATGAAAAGCAACTCTAAAGAAAAAACACAAATCAGAACTAATTGTTTCGCATCAATCCATCCAGTGTGTATAGGATGTCCGTAAAACAAAATTTTTTCCAACGCAGAGAACTCTTCTTGTGTGATGATGATGATGATGATGAATTGTTGTTTCTATGTAATTACGATTTCTATTTTATTGTGAACATCACTTTAATCAATGTTGTTAAATATGTATGAATATTTTAATCCTTGAATGGACCGTCATAATAACTCTCTCCTTCACTTTGTGTGTGTGCGCGCGAGTGCCAATGTGTAGTCGCACTGATTGATTTTTTTATTTTCCTGTACTGTACATAATCAATGAAGTCAGTCAGTGCATAATTTTATATTGTAGTTATGAAGATTTGGCTAATGTTTTTATGATTCCGGCTTGTTTGCTTTTTCCATTTTGTGTGTATGTGCGGATGTGTGTGCATGTGTGTACCAACAACTACCTCTATTATTTTTTTCCTGTTCAATATTTGGACAATTGAAATTGTTTTGTTATTCTGTAAATAATCATTGAACTCTTTTGAATCAAAAAAACAACACACATTAATTAGTCAGATTACTTCATTGTTTTACTGATTATCAAAATTATGATGTAAAATATTGAATATTGTTCAATTCTAACTAACACACACATATCATGTTTGTAACTGGCATTGGTGTTGTTGTTGTTGAAAGCTGACACATCTACATTGGATCTCATTTAATCTGAGTATATTTGTGTATTATTTATTATCCGCCGAACTGATGTTATACACATTTGCACGCACACACACACACACGTACATTTTGTTCGCTTTCATGTACACTACACATTGTTCTTATTTTCTCTGTTTGCCAATTGTTGGTTTTTTGATGGATAATTTTGAAGAGAGAAAATTATCTTTGTGAAAGTTGAACTTAGTTAAATGTGTATCTGTAATTTTCATTTGTATACCATGTGTATCCAATTATGTCATCATGTTGTATTTCTTGTCAGCTGATTGCTGTCTTTTTTATGTGTCTCTCTCTCGCTCTCTGTTCATTCAATTATGCTAATCTATTATCTGATTGATTATGACTGTGTGTGTGTGTGTGCGTGTACTGTTTACCAATCTCGCTCTGAACATTTTTGACGATTCCCACTGTCATGATGATGATGTGTGTTTTTGTACAGAGTGAGTGAGTGAGTGAGTAAGTGACAGGCCGCCCATATATGTGGCATAAAAACATGATGATTTGAAGCCATCATCATGTCAAGGTCATGTCCGCTTTTATTTATTTATGTTTTATTTCTTTCTTTCTGTTAGCTTTAATTGTTGTGTGTTCACAATGACTGTTTGCTTCTCTCTTACTTTCTCTCTGTCTTGGTCCATTTGATTATGTAATTAATTCATTCATTAATTCATTCAGTTAATTAATTTGGTGTGTTTGAAAGAACAAACAACAACAACTCTGTTCTTCTTTTTGTTCACACTAAATGGAATAATTGAATTAGAAAAATATAAAAGAATTCATTTTATGCTTTTTATTTGTGCGGTGATGAATCTGGAACAGTATTATTATTATTATTGTTGGCATCAAGTTATAAGCCTTTTATGAAGAAGAAGAAGAGGTGTTTTTGGCGAAGAGAGGAATGGTTTTTCAAAGTGATTCTATTTATGATACTTTGATTGTGTGTGTGTGTGTGTGTGAAGAGAATAGCATCAATATGAATTTCTTGTAGTTATTGGTTAACAGTTCTCTATTCTGTCGGTCAGCTGCAATGTAGAACTTTGAGCCATCGTACATCAGTTGGCATGGCACATTAACACTGGGAGACAGACAGATGCAACATAGAACTTCGTACGTAAGTACATCAGTTCATGTTGCCATACCACATCAGCACAGAGATATAATTGTCATCTCAAATTCAATAGTAGAAGAGGTAGTAAAGGTATTAGAAGTATTCGGAGAGGTTAGGATTAGAAGATATTATTCAAGAAGTATGATTCAGTGAGATAAGTTAAGAAAGTCAAAACTAGAGGGGTTGAAGAATCGAGAAGATTAGGATTTGAGAGAACACAAAGAATAAATGCATCGGCGCCATTGCGAACGATTTTGAGCTACGTCATTCAAGGTCTCTAACCATCGATTATTATCATCTCGCGGACCCCAACCAGGTAGTCGACAATTACCGACATGACTCAGTCCACTTGTCAGTGAATTCATATATTTGTGCCATGTTTTGGTTTGGCCGCCCCTAACTTTCTTCCAACCTATTCCTACACTACAAAAAAAGCTCGACGAGGCAGTCAGTGGTTAGGCATACACAGCACATGTCCCAACCACCTCAACTGATGAAGTTTCATTACTTCATCTATTGATCTGCCATTCTTACCTAGCACCCGTTTCCTAATAACAGCGTTGCTCACTCGGGTGTCCCAGGATATACGAGCAATGCTTCGAAGACACCAATGATCAAAAACCTGTAACCTACTAATATCTTCTACTCTCACTGGCCATGTTTCACAGCCATAAAGTAAAACGGAGCGAACTGGCACAGGGAGATAGAATCGTCAATTCAAATCTCATAGTAGTAGGAGTTATTAGCGGTATTGGAGAAGATTTGTGTTTGAAGATCTTAATCAAGGAGTATATTTCAGTGAAATAAATTTAAAAAGAGAAAAAAATCCGTCATCCAATCAGTCACAATGTAGAACTTCGTACGTACTTACGTACATCAATTCAAATATGGCATACCACATTAGCACAGAGACACAATTATCAATCCGTCATTCGGGATATTAGAATTGGAGAGAAGACGAAGAATCGATACACCTGCGCTATTGTAAACGATTTTGAACCATTTCATTCAAAGTCCTTAACTATCGGTTGCTATTGTTTTGTGGACGCCAACCTGATAGTCTATACCTAACAATATGACTCAGTCCAGTGATTTCATGGATTTGTGCCATGTTTTCATTTGGTCACCACTAACTTTCTTCCAGCCTACCGTGACATCAAACAACATTGCTTGTCGAGACAGTCGGTTGGTACATTGCTTGCTTACATATACTTTGATTATTTCTTAGCTGTTCAAGACCGGTTGATAAATTAGATTGATTTCAACATGCTTAATAACAGCTGACCATTGAGCTTCAATCTTTCAATGTTTTCCCTGATAAACTTTTGTTCACACTGGTCTGTGTACACTAATATAACCAAGAATACGTAGTGTTGATTGTTAGCAAATCAATGCTCATAGAGACTAAGCTAATAGTGTTTCATTGTTCATTATTTTTCATGACTGCATTGCCTCACTACAGTTCATCTAGTTACACATTTTTGAAATCAATCAATCATTGTTAGACCACCATTAGAAACCTGGAAGCACTGGACGGCAGTTTCGTCATGGTATGGGACTCCTCAGTGGCAGTGCACATCCACGACTCCTGCACCTCGCAGGATTCGAACCCAGGACCTTCGGTATTGTGCGCAAACGCCTAACCATCGGACCACTGGGCCGGTGGCATCCAACGGTGTTAATGTCTAACACGAGGACGAAACGGCCGTCTTTCAGTGCTTCCAGGTTTCTAATGGTGTGGTCTAACATTGATCGATTCATGGTTTCAAAAGTGTGTAACTTAACAATCTTCACAACTCCGTAATTCACCTAGTGTAGAAAAAGGCAAGACCGAAAATGCAAATACCTTATGAGAGAGAATACAATAATAAAATGATGTCAAGTAGAGGATTTTGTTAAAACTAATCCTTTTTTGTTTAGCAGAAATTCATTTCATCAGATGATTAATTATTAATAATATTAAAAATTGATGAGCAGTTTTATTTCTCGCTAATGTATTACGTCACTACTAAGTTGCTTTTTTTTAAATATTCTTCAGTA